ACTCCTTTATCTTTCCCACTCATGTTTTTGCCTCCATCAGTTGTAATACATTTCAAGTTTTTCTATCGAAGGTTCTTTTGATTAATGGCCATTTCAACTCCTTTAAAAATATCTGTACCAGTAGTTGTGCCATGAATACTATACATATCAAGAAGTTCTTCATGCACTTTATAGCTTTTATCTACTTCTCGAATATAAATCAACACCTGAGCAGTATCTGACACATCCAAGGCTAAAGAAAACCACTCAACATGTCCATTTTTGTCGAACAGTTGAGAGGATATATTTTCAGCGATGTTTTCTACCCTTTGAGCCACAGTGTTTGCTGATATACTGACAGTTTTTAATAAATTTACCTTTTCAGGGCATATTTCTTCGGCTACTGCAATTATGCATTCTTTGATCATTTCTCCATCGGTGAATGGTTTTTCCACGTTTTTGCAATTTCAAGAGCCACACGAAAGCTGGCACGAGTTGCAGCCTCTTGTTCAGTTTTGAGTTTTGTAAATGAAGATTGCTGCGATTTCAATCCGCGCTTCATAGCTTCGAATTTTTCTGTCCGCAAACTTCCTGTATATTTTGAGTAATTTTGAAAATGTTTTGTTTCATAATGACGTTTAATGTTATATTCTTTGAGAACGGCTATGCTTTCATTGCAAATCAAACATAGCGCCTTGTTACTGGACTCAATTACGAAATACTGAATGTTCCACTGATCTTTGAATTTTCTGCATTCACTATCAATTTTTTGCTTCTTTTCCATACTACTAAATCACACACAAAAGCAACAATTCAAATCAAAATACTGTTACAAAGATGTCTTAAACACGCACAAACACGTTTTAAGGAGGTACGCACTATTTTATTTCACAACAGTGTCATAGGAACTGACTTCTGTACGTGCTATTAGTGCCATCTGTTAGCGATAGAAGGTACTACCTATTTCCGCTTGTGTCCACCAGATGTCGTGTCACGTTACTCCTCATGGCTCGTACTCTATGACTAATCTAGAAATTACAGATAATGACAGGAAAATTAATAATATGCAGTGTTGCCGTTTTACAGACTTTAGTCCGATTTTGCAGCCTTTTTCAAACATTGCGTGCTTTTTTTTTCATCAGTGGACTATTTCACTTTTTACCACCAGCAACAACGATAATATGGTTTTGGCCCTTGGAACTTACTGGAGTAATCAGTATGGCCCTAAGGCTGGAAAGTTTGGAGACCCCTGCTCTATACCAGTGATTGCGAGCTAGCTCTTGGGAACATTTTCGATAGATCATGACTGGCTAACCTTGATTCCTCCACTGAGCTGACACTGATGACAGGGGGGGGGAGTGCACGATAATAACTGCTCATTTCTCCCGTGCAACTGCCATTGTCAGCCTCATCTCATAGTTGATTGTAGATGTGTGAGGTATACATGCTGTGTTTTCCATGTGTATATTAAACATTTGCTAGTTTGAATAGTCTGATTTACACATTGGTACTATGCCAGGTCTGTTCTAATAATGGCAAGTTTAAGTAAAAAGGAAACAACTTATCACTTTCATTTGTAATGGGAAATCGATTTCTTCTTTACTCAGGAAAAGAAGAAATACACTGGTGTGCAAAAATTAAGGACGAAGTCGAAAAAATAGTATATCAATTTTTCCATGTGTATATTAAACATTTGCTAGTTTGAATAGTCTGATTTACACATTGGTACTATGCCAGGTCTGTTCTAATAATGGCAAGTTTAAGTAAAAAGGAAACAACTTATCACTTTCATTTGTAATGGGAAATCGATTTCTTCTTTACTCAGGAAAAGGACAAATACACTGGTGTGCAAAAATTAAGGACGAAGTCGAAAAAATAGTATATCAGGTGAACGAAGAGACGGAGCGGACAGAAAGACCAATCAGGAGATTAAGTAAGGTGATGTACGGTAGCACATGCGCAGATATGCAGGTAGACGTAATGGGGGAGTGTCTGAGTAGTATAAAGCATGTTGTCGGGGTAAGATCGGTATTTCTGGCAAAGAGATTGCACGCCGTATAGCAGTTAAAATCACACCGAGTTGCTGCCTCAGCGAGAAATGGCGAATAATCAATCTGTTAGACGACATCTGGATGCTTTTACCCGAGGTCGAATCATTGGGAAGTTGGAGGAAGGATGCAGTGTGACAAGTGTGGCTGCAGAGTTCGGAATTGCTCACAGCATTGTTTCACGACTTTGGAGACAATTTCAAACTACAGGAACAGCTATCTGGGGGTTTAGTAGTGGTCGTCCACGAGGAACCACACCCGCAGATGACCAGTATATTGCCTTACAGGCCAGAAGAAACAGGCGGCAGACAGCGGGAGAAATCGCTAGACACACGACACAGGCAACTGGACGACCGATATCGCGTTTTACCATGGCCAGAAGACAGCACGGTGGTCTGTTTGCACGACGCCCTGTACGGTGTGTACCTCTAACGCCTGCTCATCGGAGAAGGTGTTCTCTGTGGTGCCGGAAACACCAGAATTGGAGAGACAATGAATGGGGACAAGTACTCTTTACAGATGAGAGCAGATTCAGTCTGAGTAGCGGTTCTCAGCGCATACTCATCTGGAGAGAGCGGGGAAGCTGCAATCATCCCTCGAACATCATTGAAAGGGACAGGTATGGAGGTGGCGGTGTTTTCGTTTGGGAAGGCATGATGCTTGGTAGTCGTACAGACCTTCACATGTTCGATGCAGGTTCAGTTAACGGGACCCGTTATTGTAACGAGATTCTTCTTCCATATGTGTGTCTCTTTAGACGCGCTATGGGTCCGCAGTTCCTTTTCATGGACAACAATTCACTATGTCAGCGCACAGTAGCTGCTGAACAGCTCTTAGAGAGTGAGGATATTGAACGTATGGATTGGCCGCCACGATCTCCGGATCTCAATCCCATCGAGCATGTATGGGATTTTCTAGGCAGACGCTTGGCAGCTCGTACCTTACCACCAGTAACGATTCCGGAGCTTTGATTGGCGTGGCAAGACGAATGGGCAGCAATGCCTCAACAACTCATTGACACCCTCATTCTCAGAATGGACAGACGCTGTGAAACCTGCCTAGCAGTCAGGGGAGATCATATCCCCTATTAAAGACCGGATGTTTCTTGCTGTACACCCATCACAGGGATGTTTCGGCCTTCAGTCGCATTGCGCTCCATGCTACTTTTTCAATAAAGCTTCTTTTTATCCCTCTGATTTCTCTTTTAGTAAGTGTTGCTTACATTACTCATGTCCTTACGTATTGGGGATCTTACGGTATTAAATGTGTTGATTTGGAAAGCTTTTGTACAAAGTTATATTGAAAAAAAACCGTCTTGTCCTTAATTTTTGCACACCAGTGTATGTGTGTTTGTCATGCTATGTAAGTGTATCAGAAGAATGTCAGTTCAAAATCGGTCACACAGGGATTCAAAAGGATTTCCCACTGAATTCTGCTCTAAAAATAGAAAAGGTAAGTCAGCTAAAATCTAAACTTAATGCTCAACAATAAACTTTTTTAAAACCATTAAACAAAAATAAAGGAACCGAGGCGTCATTCCGAATTTCAAATATTATTGCACAGAATAAGAAATAATAGGAAGATGGCAAAATAATCAAAACTGCATTTTTAGAAGCTGCATATGCATTATTTGATATTTTAAAAAATAAAACTGAGATAATGTCTGCCCTTAAATCTGTACAGCTTTCTGCGAATACAGTCAGTCATAAGAATGGTTGAGGTTATGAGTTCTGACGTTACCTCAAAACTTAAAACTGACTTTGATCGCTGCGTAACAGTGATGCTGGCAATAACAGCAGACGGGTGCAAACTCCCCCCCCTTTCTTAATCTTCAAACGGAAAACATGCCCTAAAACCCCTAAGAATGAAAAGCTGTTCCCAGATGATGTCCTGATTCGAAACCAAGAGAAGGGGGGATGACAGAATCATTAATGCTTGACTGGCTCCAAAATGTATGGGAAAACCGTACTGGTAGGCTCTCCAATCCACCATCAATGCTTTGTCTGGACACATTTCGTGGTCATCTCACTGACGACGTATAAAAGAAGATGCACATCCTAGGCAGTGATCTTATCATTCCTGGAGGGATGACATCTGTGTTACAACCCCTGGACGTTAGTATAAATAAACCTTTTAAGGGGTACATTCAGACGGAGTACGAAAAATGGTTTCGTGAGCCAAACCGTGAATTGACCCCGACAGGAAAAATTAAGCGTGCTGCACCGCACATTGTTGCATACTGGGTTTCTGCTGCCTGGAAAAGCATTGAGGCAGCAATGATTATGAAATCTTTCAAGAAATGTTGCATTTCAAATTCATTGAATGACAGTGAAGATGACGTGCTCTGGAACGCCGAGGATGATGATGAGGAAAGAAGAAATGAATCTGCTTCTGACGAAGAGAGCTGCGAAGATTCCAGTGATGAAAACATTAGTGAATAAAGGAAGTTTACTATTAATCACTGATTGTAGAAACTGTTAGCTACATAGAAATGTTACGATTTATTTCATGTTCATATTTTACGATAGGTACCGTATATACAGTAGTGGTAATTAACAATGATTGTTTCACATAACAATAGCCCACTAATAGGTTAATTCTATGTTCTGCTACTTTATGTATAAAGCCATTGTTGTATAAAATATGGTATCTAAATTTAAATAATTATCATACCATTGATTGATAGTTTATATACAAATCCATTGTTGTATAAAATAAGATTTAATAAATTCCTCTTACCACTGATGCGCATTACATTCGCATCAATACGGTACTTTTTTTGCAGACATCACCGAAAAATTAGATAAATATCCTTAACACTGCAGCTTCAAGGTAAGGATAAAAATATTAGGGGAACAATATCAGATGTTGCTTCATTCTAAAAAAGCTGGAATTAAGGGAAAAAATATCATCCAAGGTGAATGCAAACACATTGCCTGTTTGAAATAAACCATTGAAAAGCAAGGGTCTTACCCAATTCCACAAAATAGCAAATAATATGTTGAAAATTATTTCAGATTTGAGAAATGAATTCAACAAAGGCTGTAAGATTTCAAAAGGATTTCATTGTTGTACAGTTTGTCAAATTGGCTTTTATAGAGATTGATGCTGAAAATTCTCTACTTCTGTCATGGAGCATTTTGATTTTTAAGAAGATAATCCTGCAAGAGAGTTGGAACTCACTGATTTATCTGTAAAATCACTTTCTCCAAGCTCATTTGGCCTCTTCTTCCTAAAGAAAAATAAGCAATTACGGTCCAGGTTTGTCTCAAATTGAAGCAATATTCAGCTCTACATATCTGTGTGGAATTTCTTTTTCCAGTATGATGTTAATACAGAAACAGACTCACTGATTAACACTTAAAGTTAACTACACTTAAATTTTTTTCTTATTTACTACTCAATTTCAGTTAATTTTTGTTATATATAGTTTAGTTAAATTTGATTTCATATTTACTCGAAATGTAAGTTTATGGGTAATAAACAAATGCAACATAAAAAAAGGGGGGGAGTTCTTTTGGTTGGTAGCTCACAGTAGGATTTAAAAACGGTACGGTAGCTCATAAGCTTCGTAAGTTTGGTGCCACTGCTCTATACGGTTACGGCCAGGAGATCTATCTGGCTGCCCAATACATGTGGTATTGAATAGTCTCACTTTCTAGTTAATCATCAACCAGCTGAGCCTTATGTGGACAAGAGTTGTCATCTATTAACGAAAACTGAGGATGAACTTCGCTCCTGAAAAGACGAACGTAGAGCTTTTAAGATTCCTCTCTATACCTCACAGCAGTGAGGAAAACTGTCAAACGTATGCAGGGATTGCGGCTGTCAAACATAATGCCTGCCCAAACCATTATCATTTCATCACCGTAATGATCGTTTTCCTGATCAGGGAGGGAAGGTACTGTGTTTCACAATCTCTCCAGTGACAGATATGGCGAGAATCAGTGTCCAGGTTGAATCTTGATTGACCTGTAAACAGCATGGTGCTACATTGAAGTCTGGTCAGGCACATGTTAATTGCACCATGCTAAAAGCGCTTCCTTGTGTGCTACAGTGAGCAGGACCCAAAAACTAAGTCTTCTGGCATACAGCCCTATCTCACAAAGCCTTTAGGCAACTGTATACAGTGAAACTCGGATTCCTGTTGCAGCGTACAGCTTCCATGACAGCTGTAGCAGTCTTGTGGCATTGCGCTGACCAAATAACAAAATAATAATATAAGTACCAAATAACGATTCTCATTCACTTGTATCCATTCCACAATAACAGATCCAGACACGCATGTGTACACTTAAGTATTCGACTCAGAGTATTTGCATAATTACTGTCTTGGGTTTAGTACTTTTTGTATTATCCTTTAATTTTTAAAGTTGTCTTCTCATTAAGCTTTGTTTCCGAGTCAGCAATCACTCGAATTTTATTAATTTCCACAATTTATAGAAGTTTCCTGAAGTTTAACTCTGGTTGTTTTAGTAGTCAATCTACTTTAGTAATCAATGTTACAATTTTTAGGGTCATCAAAGTGTCATCATTTGAGGGACCAGAATTTCAGTTTTATAAGTAATAATAATAAGTAAGTACAAATAATATTATTAGCTATACAATGTAGGGTACTTTTCCGTTTTGCTGGCGCAGGCGATTAAAGTCACCGATAATGGTACCACTGATGCCAAACGGAATATCCTTGCTGGTAACCTTTTACACCTCATTTTCAAAACAAGTCGCCGCCATTTCTTATCAGATTGATTGTCTCTTTCAATACTGGCATACAATTACATAGAATTTTTACCAGATAGTTCAATTTTATGCCCTAAGACCATTCGTGGTAATTAAGTCAATTAGGAGAAATCGCACCGCTCACCCAAAGGCGAAATTAGAGAAAAGGCAAAGTCAAGGGTTAAATTCATCATTTCTTATGAGAATGCACTAAAGAAGTAAAGCACTGCTGTTTTACATAATTTCTGAGTAAGCTATTAGTACAAATTGAAATAACTCTTGCATTTAAACTTGTATTCCAAACTAAGATTTAACTAATGTAATAATTAATGTAAATAATTACTGAGAGAATTAGATTTTTGAACGTAGTTTACATGGAATGAGATCACTTGGGGTCACATGATACGAACTGGCGACTCAGGATGTTGAACCATGAAAGTAGAGTAAATTTTTAAATTAATGTCTTTTTACAAAATTTTAAATGCTATTAGAATGTTTATGCCTTCAAAATATAAAAATTCTTAGAACTAACATTTTTTATGTGCATACTGTGCGTTGTCGTCAATAAAGTCTGCTTGGCGAGATTTGTGCCGGCGAAACGGAAAAGTACCCAAATTAGTTAGCATGTAGTTTAAGTTATACTTCTGCATTTCACAAAAGTTCACAACTTGCAAAATATTTAAATACATTCTAAACTGGTTCCACATGGTATATTTTAAAACACGAGAATTTATGTTTTGAATTATGCATGTATTCACTCAATTTTATATTTCCAAAAATAAACAACCGTTAATTGTCAATGTCTTTTTGCCGTCGTTAAACTTAAAAAAATTTAAATATGTATACAAATTTTTGACAAAGAACAATATCTGTATATGCAGTATATTGTATTGTATTTTAAGTTCCTAATTCTTGTATTAAATTCTTAAAAAAGTATGTATAATTCATATTCATTATGGATATTTGCTTATAAAATTAAAATATATAATTTTTTTAGATGGCCTCCATGTCATTAAAAAAAACAAGCAGAATACACACACACACATATATATATATATATATCAATTTTTTTTGAATTTGAAAAAAAGAGTTTTTAATAAAAACTGGATGGAGAAATACTTTTTTTGAGGAGAATAGTAAAGCACTTTGCTTAACTTGTAGGGGCTTTGTGCCAGTTTTTACAGACTACAATTTGAATGAACATTACAATCAAAAGCATGCAGCAAAATATTACATATATCTCGGCATTTGCCATAAAAATAAAATAACATACCTAAAAAAAAGGGCTATTGTCTGAACAATTTTTTTTAAAAAAAAGACAGCCACTCATAATAATAACATTGCAAAAGCAAGTTATGTTGTAGCAAATTTAATAGCGAAAAAATCAATACCCTTTATTGATGGCGAATTTATAAAAGAATGTATTGAAAGCGTAGCAAACATAATTTGTCCTGAAAAAAAAAGTTGGATTTTTCTAAAATCAGTTTATCACATTAAACTCTAGGCACAAGAATTTGAAGAGTTGGGGAAATAAGTTGAAAAGTCTTTAAAAAGCAAATGAATCAATTTTAAATTTTATTCGTTATCCATGGACGAAAGAAAGCACTGATGCTTCTGATATGGCACAATTGGCAAACCTTATAAGAGGAATCAATGATCATTATAGTATCACAGAAGAAATGGTTGCTTTACTATCGTTAAAGAACACAACCAAGTCTGTAGATTTATTCGCTGCATTAAAAACAACGATGAAAAGGTTTCCCTTATCTATGCAAAATTTATCAGCTATCATAACTAATGCATCCCCTGCGATGGTCGGTCAAAATGGAGGACTCGTTAAAATGGTTAATAATGAAGTTGTCGCTGCTGGCAATATCATCTTAATGGCATATCATTGTATTGTACATCAGGGCAATTTATGTGGAATAATTTAAAAAATGGAAAGTGTATTAAGCATTGTTATAAAAACCATTAACTTTATAAGAGCAAAAGGAATTAATCATAGACAATTACAAGATTTTTTTAAGGTACTGAATTAGAAGGCTGCACATAACCTGGGAGTTGCACAAAATACAGTCAAGGTCTTTAATCCAGACGTCCCTAATCTGGAATGATCTATAACCTGGACCTCAAAGTTACAAACTTTCTGTGCATGTGCATAATGTTGGCTTTAGTTTTCCTTATGCAAATTTTGATCGGAGGTCATCGGCGGCAAGCTAATGTGGTTGGCCGATGACATCAAGATCGGCGGGCTGGCCGAGTATGATATATATGTACGCTGGTATCGGCGAATGTGTCTTATTATGAATTAGCATAATGCTAGTTTTCTTTCACTGAGATGAATTTAAATGTAAAGGTGTTAGCTATTTTATTTTAATTTACGGAATAAAGCATGAATTTTATTTACATTTGTCTTAGCTTCATTTAAGGGAAGCAAAATATGCTTATCTCCACTGCCAACAGGGTTATGGGCACAGCGCCAATAGATAATCGGTCATCCAGTTCAACTCAGCATTGAAGGAATGTAGGTGAAGAAGGCCCTTATCCACGAAAATATGCTGACTTGTCTTAGAAGTTTGTTCAAGTTGTTGTGCTCACACTTAATTGAAGATATCATTAGTACCTGAAGGTTTTGTCTTGTTAAACCATCACAACTGGGGTCGATGGAAAGTCGACATGAAAATGTTGTTGGAGCTTCATAGAGGACAAAGAAGAAGAATTAGATAAAAGTGCAACAAGGCGTGAAAAGCAGGAGTTCACACTGAGAGAGAATAGAACCTTCACTACATTATATTATGGAATTAAAACTAAGTTCAGGCCGCTGATACAAGAATGTTACAGTGGTAAAGAAGCATGGGAAGTTCTACAGCAGCAATTTGAACCCAAAGCAAGAGCAAGGATAATTCAGTTACTGGATGAATTTTTTAGTATTACATATATGCCAAATGAAGAAATAGGATTATTCATCATGAGGATAAGAATGACTGCAAAGAAGTTGACTGAAGCTGGTCACGACTTGGCAGATCTTTTTAAAGGATTTCAGGCAATAAGGAGATTACCCAGTAATACTCCGGCATTGTACAGTTGATCTATAGGTGGAAGGACAAAGATTTTACACTGAAAAGAATTGCTGAAGAACTGGTAAGGGAAGAAAGCCGACTTCGCCAGGTAAATGCCGATTTAGAAGACAGCAAGGTAAGCGTGTTTAATACTATTAGTTCAAATGCAGGGAAAGATAGAGTTGAAAATAAAACTAAATCTAAGAAAAAATGGAAATATGAGAATAGGACCTTGTTTCAGATGTCATAAATTTGGACACTTAATCGCTCAATGTAAAGAAAATGTAAGTAAAAATCAGAAGTTTAAAATAGACGATAAAAATGGACAGTTTAAAGATAAAGAATTAATGTTAGTAGAAAATTATGTAACAACTACAGATAAAGGAGGTAACGCAG